TTTAGCAATGATTTGTAATTTTGTTAAAAAAAGGTTTTATAATTTATTTTCCTTTTTGAAAATTAGTCTTTTGACATTTGTTTTTGAAAAAGTATTAATTAATGTTTAAAAGAGTTGATGAGAATATCTTTCCACTGAAAATGAAATCATCAAACTAACATCTAAAATATGATATAGCTTTTCATTAAGATCTTCAAGTGGTTTTGATCTTTGATTATTATGAATCAAAAGGATCTTTCTTAATCTTAATTAAAAAATTCAATTACAATGTACTTTTCTAAGTGTGAATTCTAGTAAAAAAACTAACACTAACCAACATACTTATTAACGTCTTTCRGACAACTWAAAAACGTTTTCCAAAAAATGCAATTAACTTTTTCCCTTAATTATATCGTTGCTTCACTTAAAATCGCTTCTCGAAAGAACAAAGAAAACCGAACAAAAAGATAGAAATGGGGTCGAAGAAGGCTGTTTTTCCCTTTGGCGATTTGCAAGAGAGAGATTTCAAGTTTGAAGTGTGATAACAATGAAATATGTTTCAAAAATATTCCTGATGTGTTCTGAAGCAAAAGTCCCCACACAAAAAGCCTTCAAATTCAAGCACAAGTCACTATGACAAAAACCTAAACAATTCAAACGTGTAAAGACTGCATTACTGCAAACTGCAGAAAACAAATATACATATCACTGGCCACAGCCTTGGAATTTGATTGCAGAGCTGGATAGCCTTTACTTTTCCTTACTTTTTCATGTTTCCTACTAAAAAAAACACCCCATGAGTTTCAATGAAAGCTGCTCGACCCACTGCCACTAGACGTGTTGAGCCGAGCCATAGGTTAACCTGTACGGTAACGAGTGCACGCTGAAACCGAAAAAAAAAACCMACCGAGGTGAGTCATTTGGTCACCTTTGACAACATATGTTGGTTGGTTCATTCGGTTCATTTCGATCAGGTTGTGGTGGTTTGCTAAGTCAGTTCGGTTTTGAATGAATTTYCCAAAAGTAAAGATATGTACTAAAAGAGAAGAAAAGTGTACAAACTTTCCTSTAGGTGTCTTTTGAAAGAGAGAGGCCAATAATAGATCTATATAGATGTGATTCTCAACACCATAAAAGCAGCAGCAACTTTCTAGTATTACTATTATTCTTTTAATCTTCACTTCCATACCTTAGCTTTAGGCTCTCTTTAAGCAGACCAATGGGGCTGGAAGATGTTTAAATTACTTCTTCATGAAATCCAATTTCGTAAAGTATGCCACCTGATATCCTGCATCACATGATCATATATCATAAAAAGTTTCGAAGTCGTTTAGCACAATATTAAGAGGTGTGTTTGGCTTATGAATTAAGCTAAGCCAAATCTATGTTTAAAACGTAGGCCCGCTAATTCAAACAAAAAATTTGTCGATCTAACAAACTATACAAAATTCGGACTTGCAAAACTTACCTTTTAACTTAAAACCCAATACTAAGTTATACACAAACTTAGGTTTCTATAATTCGTGTAGTCCCTTTGAAAAGTACAAAYAAAGAGTATGCAAACCCAAAGTTCTACCTATGGTGCAATTCATTTTCTTTCTTTTTTGATATCCATGTGTCCGGGCCAATTTACGTGCACCTCGACTATTCACGGGCCAACCGCCTAATCCTACTAGGTTTGGTTGACAAGGAAACTCGTAGGATATTAAATCCTAAGTAGGTGGCCACCATAGTTTGAACTCGGTCACTCTAAGTCTTTTGTTATTTACATTGACCCTCRTTGACCACTTGAGTCATCCCATAATGGCTACCTATGGTGCAATTCATTGGTTCATGATTTAACTAAACTGGAAAAATGGACCATGAGTTGAGTTGTGCTGGTAGATGAATTTGGTGCTTGTAATAACCCAACAACAGAAGAATTTGGCTCAATATGGATTCAAAAACTGGGCGATGAACTTAATGGGAAAATTCCTTTACACTGTTCATCCATGGTTTTATATAGGAAGAATAGAGATATATTCTTCAGATACAGCCTAAATATAAACACTACTTTTTTCTTTTTCTGTGCGTTATTTACCACATAATGATCACAGATGACAAAGAGTACCGAAATGAAAGAAGATGATCGTAAAGATGTGTGACCAAATCAAGCAGATCACCTTTACAAATGGTTGCCAAAACAGCCAAAATTAGATCAGAGTGGGTCCTCTTACATTACTGCAAATTACTTGAACTTTGATCATCCTTGTTGCTGCTTGATTCGGTGCTATCAAGCGCTGTTTCAACCGTTGAATTTGGTGGGCTAACTTGCTTGTCAACTATAGTTGCAGTTTCTTTATCTGTGGAACCATCTTCCATTATGGAATTTACGGCCAACTGACCGGAGTAAAGGAACAAACCAACAGCATTAATTCCAAAAACAAATGTTGCAAGGTAGCATATTCCGTTCACAATAGTTCTGCGAATAAAAGATACAGAAATGATCAATACTCCTTTATCGAGCTGCAACCAATGTTATCATAAGTTGAGGAATATACCTTATGGTTATTGTCATCTGTCGAACCTATAAGAGCAGGAAAACAAGTGTTAAACGACATTATTTGATTATATAAAGTAATGCAAACCTCAGGAAAATATGGGTTTACAGGAGTTATCATCTTTCCTTGATTGTTAATTTTACTGTCTAACATGCATTCCTAAGGTCTTGTTTGATAAAAAGATTTAATTTTTAATTCTATGCTTTTAAATACTATGCCTACTCCCTCTCAATTTCTTTGATATTGTTTTTCACCCTTCTTACAAGTACAGAAATCTTAGCCAAATTTAAAAACTTAAGATTTCAAAACATTTAAAAAAAAACAAATAAGAAAGCAAAGAAACACATAGGTGGGAATAGTGTACATAAGCTCAATTTTAAAAAAACAGAAAAAGAAAAATAAAATGGTTACTAAATGAGGCTTAAGTTATTAATGAGATGTAGAAGATATTACTTGAATACTTTTCTGAGTGAAAAAGAAGGGCTATTCGTCTAACTACTTCTAGCTCGAATCATGTTAATATCCAGGAGCCTCTGTGTTATTTATTTGAAATAGTAGCTGTTCGAATGATATGAACGGGAATAGATAATCCTCCCATAGTTGCAAAAAGCAGTCTAAACATATTGTAAAGATAAAACTAATTATGGGTGCATACCGAGAAGTTATCGGACATTGTCTGTCGGTTCAGAGCAGCTTCAATGGTGGTGGTGAACTTATATAAGATTAACGCAATGACACCAGCTGCTATTGCTCCCAAGAATGCTTGTATCGGTGAAGGTGTAGACTTAGATTCAATTGGACCTGTACTGATTGCTTTCAAGCTATCCAATGCTTCCTCCTTCAAGGACTTCTTTACTCCAACAGACCTAAATTTCTGAAATAGCCACATAAAAAGTCATAGAAGAAATCAACTGAATTGATCTATAAATTCAAATCCACTAAGATCGGATAAGAGAATTGGCACAAAAACATGACGAGGATGCATAGTTGAACATAGCGATTGACTTCTAGAATGTTGGTTATGGAATGAGTTTGAGTAAAATGTTGGTTAACAAAAAAGCATCTCTGAAGGGAAAATTTGACTTCTAGAAAAGAAAACAGAACAAGTTGAACATAGCGATGAGTGGATAGGAACAAAAACTTTTCATTGCATAGGCAAAAAGTTACAAAAATAATCCATTTATAAAAAATGGACCCCAGTTAATATTTATTACACCGGAATTATAGTCACAAWAAGAACTCGAGAGTGAATGCCTAGAGGATGAGGATGCATAGTATGTTGCTATGTTGTAGCTACATTTCCAGGTATCAAGCTTCAAAGTATTTTGCTTGATTAACCCTCTCCTCCAAATCTAGACRGCTTCCTTCRAACATTCTCTGATCCACCCTCGCTTCCCAATCTTACAGCAACGTATTATGATTCCAGAATCTATAAATATCATTCAAAGATGTTCCAGTAATAAAAGAAATGCAACTAGACAYTGCAAAAGTTTACGGAGATTCTAATACTTTGAACTAAGATTAGGCTGCTTATAAGAAGTAAAAGAGAAGAAACGTCATGTTGCACATATAACAAGAATGATTTATCTTAGTCTTAGACTACCTCTAGACTTAAAACTTAAGTCGATAGGTTTGAGTATATYATATCTTTTATTTATATTCTTAATACTACTCCCACGTGTGGTCTCAGTATTAATTTGACTTACAAAATTCAACTCTTGAACAATTAACATCAATGAAGAAGAAAATGACGTTGTAGGGACTCCAGTTTAGAACTTCTTACTTTGATTCCATGCTAAACTATCATTGGACCAAAAGACTTAAAGACTTAATAGTTAACAGGTTAAATTACATTTAATATGTTATTCATATTCTTAATAATTTACTAGAAAGAACCTAATGCTCTCCAATCCAACTAGTTCAATGGCTTCTAATTCATAAACAACTCTATCCACTAGCCATGGCCGGTCACCATTTCAGATGACTTATACTTGGTTCATCTTTTAGAATTCCTTGAACAATCCTACTTTCTACTGTAATGAGAATACGTAAGACCAAGAAAATCACAACGATTGGTAGTTTAAAATGAGTTTGAGAATGGTGAAAAGTACTTTTAGTCACTAAAATCACTTTTTCAAGTGTCTGATTAGATAATAAAAATAATTTTCAAAATTCTAAAAATACTTAAAGTCATGACTTAGCGACTGCAGCTAGCTTCTGTGGAGAATTTCATCRAACACATGGCACGCAAAAATGTGGAAAAGGAAGAAGAATGCAGCCAAAAAAAACCCAATTCATATCTAAACTCGAAAAGCACACAAAAACATATTAGCCAAAAGATTCAAAAGTAATTCAGCAAATGGTACCAGCTCTTTGGCCCGCCGAGCGCGGCGGCGGAGGGAGCGGAAGAGGAAAATGGAGATGGCCCCCGTGAGGAGAACACTGGTAGCCACTTGGAGAGAAGAAGGGTCATCCGTGGTAGCAAAAATGGTGGGTGGAAGCTCAACTGGGCCGTCGTCTTCATCAAAAGTGGCGGTGGCCTCTGATAGTTCAGAAATTTGGGGCGAACATTGCTGAATTCTGAGGCGACGGTGGGTGGAAAGAAAGGGGAAGGTGATGGGTCTGTGGAGAGAGGAGAGGGAGGGAGGAGAGAGACAGGATTTGTGGGTTAGAGAGAGAGTGGAAGGGAAGATGGAGGAGAGAAAGTTGTGGGTCTGCAACATTTGAGGAGATTTAGTGGATATGGGGTTTGCTAGTTTTGGAGATGGAAAAAATGAAGAAGATTTTCTACTCCTCTTAGCCAAATATCCACTACCATGGATTTGATTTTCCAAGCTCTCTTTCTCTATCTCCTAGCTTTCTAAATAGATATTTCTTAAAAATCTTGAATAACATGTCTAAAAGTATCTAGAGAATGTTTGGCACCTCGGTTTAATAAGTTTGGATTTCTCTAGATGAGCAATCAATCACGTGTACCTCGATACAAAKACTTCTTTCTTAATTATAATGAGATTAATAAGGTTCACTTAATGATTATCAGATACCACCACAGATGAAAGTTGACAGAATATGAACCTTGAGGCACGTTAAGTTAGCCTCGGACACATTTGAGGTCATGTTGAAGTTTAGGGTGTTGTCCCTCGTTCTCCTTCTGTTTTCTCTTCTTCTGCTACRTGGAGGGTCGCCCCTGGCTACCCAATGGGTAAATTATATTTTATTTTTTAGTTTATAATTTGAAAAGGATAGTATGCAATATAAAAAAAGTGAATTTCTTAAGTCAATTTTGCATGACTCAAGTTATATATCATTAGTCAAAAGATTGGAGATTCAAATTCCAACTTCTTCAAAGCAAAAAAAAAAGGAAAAAAATAAGTAAGGTTGTTTTAAGTTTGAATTTATATAATATGAATGTATGTGGTCCATTAGATTAGATTAACACATTTTGTAACTTTTTTTTTTAAAGAATATTACATCGTTAGTCAAACTTTTACTCTGGAGGAGAAGTAGAAATGTCTTGACCATTGTGTTATATTTGTTTCATTTATTGATTTAAACAACTTTTTCATTTTTCTATTTGTTTTAAAAACTTTTGTTAATATTGGTATTTCTGTAAATTGAAGTTTTTGACGTTTAACATCATATGAGTAATTTTGTTAGAAGAYTGGTTTCTAATGTTTATTGCGGGCTATCAAGAAGATGATCTAGATTGAGTTAATTACGTTATACGTATTATTGTAACACTTGTTGTATCTGGTTATTTAAATCAAATCTCTATTTTGATACAACGAAAAGGAATTTACTATGATCATTGCAGTATGACATTTGTGGAACTAATATGCCTTTGTTTTTAGAGCATTTTTCGAAACTTTGAAAGTTAAACTTTTTGAAACTTAGAAACCAAATAAAACTATTTCTAGAAGTTTGGGATTAGAAAGAAATTTATTCCCATTTAACTTTATGTGATTAATTGATGTATAAAAAAATAAATTAAATTACAAATAATAAATGAAAAAAGCTTACAAATCTTGTTCTAATATAGTAACAATACAATTATCTTATTTCCAAATGTCACATTCCAATTTTCACTTTTTCCCTTTTGATGAATAGAAGACGATGATGAAGCCAAAATCTCCAATGCAAGCCACCTCATCTACTCAGATTTGAAGCAAAACTCTTTTTCTTTTGTAGCTTCAGAACAAACCARCATGTTTGCAATTTGCAAACATTGCATTTTGAGGCCATCTTTCTCTTTGATGGATCACTTGGTGTTAAAAAAAAGTGACAAAAAGTTCTATATTTTGCTCTCCTCGGTTGTCTGTCCCGCAGCTTTTACTCTACTTTCTCCAATAAAATGAGGTTCATTTGAACTCCAACCCAATCCAACCCGAGTTTCGAGTAGCTGCAAATTTAGCATATTTGAGATAAAATATTACAAAAATATATGTTAACAAAATATGATTATAAACAAAGAGAAAAATGGGTGATTATGGTATTTTAAGGTTAAGTTATAAGYCTAGCCATTRAATAGTCCTTGAAATTTAAAAAGTTTTAACCAGATGCTTAAACTTTAAAAGTTGTCCATTYAGCCATTTGTACTTTAAACAGTTTATAACGAGTCATTATACATTAATTTTGTGTTAACTCCACTAGTTTAATGATTATGCCACCAAATGCTCGAACTTGTCCAAAATTAGCTTATCATATAATCTTTGAATGAAAGCATTAAACTAACGGAGTTAACGACATGAACCTTTTAGACACAACTATAGACACATTAAACTATAGCTTCTAAGAACCTATTAGAAGCTTTTTAAACTACAGGCACTAGATAAATACAAATTTGTATTTAGGGATTTGTTATGAACAGAGACTAAGTAGACATGCCCCTAAATGTTTAGGGACCAAATTTGTTATTCTATGTGTTAATATTTTAGAAAGTGAAACTCTAAATACAGTTTAAAAGGCTCTCACCATTTTTAGTGCACATTAGAAGCCACAGCTCTAGCCCAAAACTTGATTTGTTGTTTCATGTCTTGTGCAGATCTTCTAGAATCCCATTTTGGAATTGGAGGGAGGAGATGGTTTTGGAGCATCCATGCTTCAGAAAGATAAGGCCTTCTACTTCTACCCCTTTCACTCTCCAAATCTTCCTCCTTTTTCTCTCTCAAGCCTGGAATTATATCAGCCACTGTTGGGTTTATATCTTTTTTGTCAAATGTGAATCCCAAGTCCTTGAAACCCTGTACTTCTTCTGATTCAAGTTCCCTTTGGCTTCTCCTCCTCCTCATTTGGACCAGAAATTGATGCCACATTTCGTCGTTGCTTGTCGGGATTCGACACATTGGGAGGCTGAAGTTCTTCTCTAGAATCTGTGTGAACAGGCACCAAAAAGTATGAAAAGGAAGAATAGAACATATGAAGTTTATTCTTAGTCATTCTATCTTGCAAGATAATGCATTGTGTTTAACTCATTTTGGACATTTGAACATTCTATAGTTTTTTTCAGACAATAAACCAATTGGGTGTTAATTAAGGTGCTATGCTAAGCAAAGTCGATTCTTTTGCCCGTAATATGCTTATGGTCTACTCTACCAATTTGTGAAAAAGTTTTAGTTGGAATTTATTAATTCTCATCTTGACTTCAAATGGTAACTCCGATCATCCCAAGCCTAAGTCAAATGTGATCTTTCCACAATCATATCAAGGCCAAAACATTAGCATAGAGCTCAACATATGGATTACATAACATTTCAAAATGTTTGAATCTCAAGACTTCTTGTTATGATACCGTATTAAACCATCCCTCAAGGTGATCTATTCACACAAAAATTAGTTAAGATGGAATGTTATTCAAGCACACAATAAAGAATGATATGAGACAGTTAAATAGAACATCATTCTTGTAGTACCTCTTGTCTTGTGGGAAATAACTCAGAAAGGTTTGGCTGAGTAGAGTTTCTGATTCTAGCAGCAGCTTCCTTTTCTCCAAATTCCTTTTCCCTTCCTATACACGGTGGCAAAGATGGTGTTCTTAGCAGATTACTATGCTGYGGTTTCCTTGCCGATTTGCTCCTTCGAGTGCCGTTGATTTCTTTGCCGTGAGTTCCTTCTTCTTTCCTCTCTACATAAGGCGGCTTGGCTGGTTTTTGAAGCAGACCATGCTCTGACAATAGCTTGGAACCATTGCCTTTCTCTCGAATTCCTTCTTCTCCTTCCATACGGGCCGGCAGTGATGGTGTTCGGAGCAGATTCCGGCGTTTACTGCCACCATTTCCCG